TGTATTTTTATAAACGTAAAAGCCTTAAATAAAACAAATCACGGCACATTTTATGTATAAAGACACATACTATTAAAAAATAATAATAAACTTAATTAATTCTTATTCTAACAGAAATTAATGCATTTTTTTTATTCTAACTGATGAAAAAAGTATTCGTACAAATCAATTATTAGAATAAAATAATCAATTAATTATGATAAAAATATATTCTAGAATATTCCAGTAATGTTATAAGTAATTATAGTTAACGCTATTAGCCAATATTAGAGCATTCTGCAATTTCTAGTCTTACGAGAAGGTTCTAATAATGCCTAAAGGTAAAGAATTGACTATTTCACAAAAACAACACATTTTGTCTCTTTGGAAAGATGGGAACAGTTACAGAACGATTTCTAACAACCTGAATATTCCTTTTACTACAATTGCTTCGTTCATTACAAGGTTTAAAACTCGTAACAGCGTCGAAAGCCAAAGACGAACAGGTGCTCCGAGGAAGATCAGCAAGGATATTAGGACGCCAGATTTAACAAAATCCACAGGTTACCCGTGAAGAGCTGCAGGAACATCTGCGTGCATTAGGGATTAAAGTAACCAAGCGTACAATATGTAATGAACTACACAAAAACAGTCTGAAATCACGCATCCCAATGAAGACTCCACTCCTCTTGAAACGACACAGAGATGCTAGGCTAAAATTCGTTAGAGAGCATAAGGATAAAGAATATTCGTTTTGAGAAAAAGTACTATGGACAGATGAAACTAAAATAGAGTTGTTTGGTCGTAATTATCAAAATCATGTGTGGAGGAAGGACGGTGAAGCCTACTTACCAAAGAACACGTTGCCAACTGTAAAGTTTGTTGGTGGCAGTATCATGATCTGGGGCTGTTTTTCTGCAAAAGATGTTGGCAGAATATCAATAATAGATGGCAAGATGAATGCCGAAAGCTACCAGAAAATCCTGCAAGACAATTTAATGCGTTCTGTTGAGAGACTTCGGCTACCTCCTGATTGGGTTTTCAAATGGATAATGATCCTAAATACCGCTAGATCTACAGGAAATGGTTAGCTAAAGTAACGTTGATGTCTTGCAATGGCCAAGTCAGTCCCCAGACTTGAACCCAATCGAGAATTTATGGCGATATTTGAAAATTCAAATTGGGAAAAAAGCACCAAAAAATATCAAGAATTTGAAGAAAATATGCCAAGAAGAATGGGACAAAATACCACTCAATGTGTGTAAATCATTAGTTGAGACGTACAGGAATAGACTGGTATCTGTTGAACTCAATAAAGAATATTCCACAAAGTATTAAATTAAGTTTATATGCGTTTTTGTTTTGTACGAATACTTTTTTCATCGGTTAAAATGAAAAAAATGCATTAATTTCTGTTAGAATAAGAATTAATTATGTTTATTACTATTTTTTAATAAAATGTATCTTCACACATAAAATGTATCAAAATTTGTTTTAGTTAAGGCTTTTACATTTATAAAAATACAATTTTTCAAGTGTACGAATATTTATTTCCCCCCACTATATATATATATATATATATATATATATATATAAGTGAACATAGAAATCAACACTTAAAGGCGACAGTCTGCTTCATGCTAGACACATTCGTCAGGCCACGAGTGTTGACTTCTATGTTCACTTTTATATTTACGCACGCTCTATCACTGATATTGAGCACTTTATCCCATAATTATAGCACATCTTAAGACTATATTTCTTCATATATATATATATATATATATATATATATATATATATATATATATATATATATATTATATATGTTTCATCTGATCTGATTTCTGAGGTTTACTCATTTCTTTCTGGCTCCCAACATGAAAACTAAGGTCAGAAAATGCATCATGACATTTTCTACTGAGTATTATTTGAGGTAAAAAAAAAACCTATGATCACATATATTTTACATAGATAAATCACTTCGTAATGTGTGGGCTGTATTTGTGAGTCCAATTTTTGTATTTCTTTTCTCACAAGGCCCGAAGCTCCGATTATTATTTTTAAAGTCAGTCTTCATTCCCCACATCCTGTTAATCTGCAGGTTCTTATACTTGGACAATTTCTCGATAATTTTCATGAGAATGTTTCTCTTATATAATACTGCTATGCCAGTAAGCATACACTTTCTGAATTTCTTGTCTTGTATGATAATATCAGATCTGTTGGCCTTTAAATCAGTTTGAATTTTCATGTCCCAGAGGATAGTTACATCGTTATTTTGAGTAACTATGTTTGGTAGGTGCTCATACCATCTCTCAGTGGTTTTCGCTTTTGTGCTTCTTCCATATCTTCCAGGGCACATATGTCGCTGCCTTCTTATGTCTGTGAGTATATTCATTTTTTGCTAGTTCTGGACACCCTGAGATAATATAGTCGTCATTTTCATTATATTTTCCGAAGATCCTGCATTTCGGGTAATTCTATCCTTGATTATGTGACAGTGATAGGATCTGGTTGCGAGGCTTTTGTCCTGAGCTGCAATAATTAGGCCTTCTGTCTCAGCTTTCAACCCGGTGATCCTCAGCCACGGATGTGTTTTCTGTTAGTCCACATCTGCTTCTTTCATTCTTTTTTAGATATTTATTATGCAATGCCTTGTCCTCCGAGTTTTTTGTAATTTCATTTGACCAAATTGTTTTGCTTTATTATTATTATTATTATTATTATTATTAAAAGCAAGACATTTTATGTCAATTAATTTTACAGATAATTGTTTTCAAAATTACGAATAATCCTTCTCAGACAAGGAGGAAATTCTATCTGAAATTGTCCTAAGTTCCTTTTGGAAGAAAAGTACAAGAATTATGGCCAAATCTTTCGACAATGCAAAAACAGTCCATTCTATGTACAGAAAAAAATCACTTGTACAAATGCAAGAAATGCATAATAATTTTTTTAATCGCAGTATCTTGCCAATCATCTTCAGTTAAACCAGTATAAAAAGGGTTTGTTGCTCAAATACACAATTATATATATGGGTTATTTAATGCCGACAAGATTTTTATTGCTGGTAATATTTTTTCCAAAAAATCTATTGCTGGTAATATTTTTTTTCTTCGAAATTCATTGCTAGTAATAATTTTCTACAAAACTGCATTGCTGGTATTAAAAACTATTTTTACACTTTCACAGTTTTTTGACCCCAGATCGGGGGTTAATTATTTGACCATAGCTGAAACCCTAACAAATGCTACCACTCCGGGTCAGGGTGGACCTGGGAACACAAGCAATTAAGGGGTAGTTACACGATCCTCAAAAGCTCCTGATCAGAGGCCTTGTTGTTGAATGTAGTTTATCGTCATACCCAGGACGCGGATGTAGTTTATCATCATACCCAGGATGCGGATGTAGTTTATCATCATACCCAGGACGCAGATGTAGTTTATCGTCTTGCCCAGGACGTGGATGTAGTTTATCATCTTACCCAGGAGGCAGATGTAGTTTATAGTCATATCCAGGACGCGGATGTAGTTTATCGTCATACCTAGGACGCGAATGTAGTCTATCATCTTACCCAGGAGGCAGATGGAGTTTATCGTCTTACCCAGGACGTCATAACTTGATGCCAAAAATGCACAATTCCATTGTGCATGGAATTCTTAAAGTCATCATACTGTTAACAAATTGATGTATTTTGTTTTATGGCATATCAAACACAATGGATTATTTAATGCCGGTAAGATTTTTAGGCTGGGGTCGTATGAACATAATATGTAATATTTGTAAGAAATAGGTTTGTAAATCAGGTTTCATTCACGTATTTTTGCAAAGAGGGTTTTGCCGGAAGTCAAATGTATTACAGGTATTTTTTTTTTCAAAAAATGTATTGCTTGTAATAATGTTTTAGAAAAACGTATTTCTTGTATTCAAACCTATTTTTATATCTTCATAGTATTTTTACCCGAGTTAGGGTTTAACTATTTGTCCGTGGCTGGGACCTTAATGGGTGTTACTAACTCGGGTCTGGGTGAATCTGGGAAAACCAGCAATTAAGAGGTGGTTCCATGTTCCTGAAAACCTCATGATCAGAGGCCTTGATGTTGGGCGTAGTTTATCGTCTTACCCAGGACGCGCTAACTTGCATGTACAATTAGAAACTTACATCTACAAGTAAGAATAACACTTAATTGGCTGAAGAAACTCCCGTAGTGCTGGATTGATAAGTATTAGTTACTTTTCCGTCATAAAAAGGACTTTTTTGTAAAAATAAATAGCTATTTACTATATCTATTTCATAGGCATAGTAAATGATTCTAATCCGATCGGAAAACTTGCTGCTGGTTGTAGTTCATCGTCTTATCCAGGACATGATCATTTTTGAGAACAGCTGCGAAAATGATCTTAGGGAACCGGTCAGACTTATTATTAAGACGTGATTAAATAGTAGTCACCAGCATAGATACCGAATTGAGAATTGCTTACATCTGAAAATTCGTAATTTATACCAATTTTGTTGTTAAAAATTAGCTTGCATAATAAAATCAGACAGTGTGTAAAGATATGCATTTTGCAACGTACAGTAATCTACAAACTCAAAACGTATATATATTTACATACATACATATATATATATATATATATATATATATATATATATATATATATATATATATATATATATATATATATATATATATATATATATATATATATATACATATATATATATATATATATATATATATATATATATATATATATATATATATATATCCTGTATAGCTCGTTGCGTAATTATTTCTGCTGGCACCTCAGATTTCAAGCGGGAATGAGTTTAAGAAGAATGGTTGAGAGGAAGCATTGGACTTTAGTATATAACTGCCGGCGGCCACCATGAGTTCAAACAAGTTTGAAAACCGGAAACAGTTTCGGGGCAATGGGAAAACGAAGAAACGATTTGATGAAATAAAACAAAAGAGAAGAGTGGCTAAAAAAAAAACAAGAATATGCAGGATATATTAAAGCAAGAAGGAAAGGAATGTAGGCTTGAAGGATGAAGAGGGAAAGAAAGACTTGGAAATTGAATAAAAGAAATCAGAGGGGGTGAAGTAAAAATTATGGAAAACGTTTAATTGACACTGGAAGATAGATAGATAGATAGATAGATAGATAGATAGATAGATAGATAGAAAACAAAAGACGCAAAAAGAAAGAAAGAAAGAAAGAAAGAAATTTTGACAGAAGTATAAAAGGTAGAATTGGAAGTTAAGAATATATTGGAAAAAGAAAGTGGTGAAAAAGAAAGAAAGAAAACATAGATAGATAGATAGATAGATAGATAGATAGATAGATAGATAGATAGATAGGAAGAAAGAAAACAAACGACATGAAACGAAAGAAACAAAGAAACAAAGAAAGAGAGAAAGAAAAAGAAAAAAGTAGATAGATAGAAAACAAACGAAATGAAACGAAAGAAGATAAATAGATAGATAAATAGAAAGAAAGAAAGTACGAAAACGACATGAAATAAAAGAAAGAAAAAAAAACGACATGAAACGAAAGAAAAAAGAAAGAAAGAAAGAAAGAAAGAAAAAGAAAGAAAGAACGAAAAAGAAAGAAAGAAAATAGATAGATAGATAGATAGATAGATAGATAGATAGATAGATAGATAGATAGATAGATAGGAAACAAACGGCATGAAACGAAAGAAAGAAGGAAAGAAGATAAATAGAAAGAAAGAAAGAACGAACGAACGAACGAAAACGACATGAAATAAAATAAAAAAACATGAAACGAAAGAAAGAAAGAAAAAAAAAAAAGAATGAAAGAACGAATAAGAAAGAAAGAAAAAAGATAGATAGATAGATAGATAGATAGATAGATAGATAGATAGATAGATAGATAGATAGATAGATAGAAAACAAAAGACGTAAAAAGAAAAATTTTGACAAAAGAATGTATGAAAAATAGAATTGGAATTTAAAACTTGCGGAAAATTTTAAATGAAAAAAGAAAGAAAAAAAAAAATCTAGATAGATAACGATGTCATAGAAAGAAAAAAGACATTCAAATAAAGACAAAAGATTGGCAAAAGAAAAGGTAGGAAATGGGCAAATTTCTGGGGCCAAATAGGAACAAATTCTTTTAATAATTATTTTCTTTGTTTTCAGTTTTACCGCCCTTCCAGATTCTTGCATTTTTCCGCACGTTTCCGGCTGCGGTTTTAATTAGATTTGTCGAGTGCCTATCTGCCAAGAAGATTTTTCAAAACGACTTGTGTATGGAAAAGAACAGGCAATGGAGAAAAGAGGGAAGAGCTGGAAGAGAAGAGGAAGGAGAAAGAATATGCAAACCTATTACGAACGTCGGCAAGAGAGCGAACGTTTAGAAGGGTGGCGAACGGGTGGGAGGTTGGCAGTTACCCGCTTATTGTCTGTGCTGTTATATACGCTTACTGAGTGAGACCCGTTAGCGTTTGCAAAATAGAGAGACTGACAGTCATTCAAGAAAATAGGGAAGTTGGTTTCCTCCATTCCCATAAGACACTGCGTTCTCTCTCTCTCTCTCTCTCTCTCTCTCTCTCTCTCTCTCTTCTTTCGAGCTTGCATGTTTTATAGGCAATAAAGGTAAGGGTATTTAATCTGAAAGGATTTGTCTCTCGTTTTTATATTTATTGTTATTTCTTCACTTTTATTTTAATATTTATTTACTTATACATTTTTTTATTTATTTCTATACATATATAATGAGATATCTATTTATACATACATATACATACATATATATATATATATATATATATATATATATATATATATATATATATATATATATATATATATATATATATATATATATATAATGGAAGCACATGCGTACAGAAGAGTAGCTAGGCTATAAAATTCAATATGAGAAAAAGGGAATTGCTTGATATTTCTTTTGTTAGGCAAAAAGTGTTTTCTATTTTTCAAAATATATTCCCGTGCAAGCAATCTATTTTCTTTATCTTCCATATTCACAAGACTTGTAACTCGTATTTCTATTGAAACATGGCTTCTTTTTCGCATTCAAATAATCGATGTTAAGTAACGTTCTCGCTCGGTTCAACTGGAAATGGGTAAGAAAAAAAAAAGTCCCTCATATTAGAATTAGCCACGCTACCAAATTTTAGTAGGCAGACATTTTTAAACATCAAACAGAATCAAAATCTTCAGTAGAGAAAGCAGAAAAGGCGTTGACCTGCAAACCAAAATCAGTGATATTCGTTCAGATAACACATAGAATAATAGCAAAAAAGTATTTATTTCTCTGTATATTTTTGAGATGAGGTATTGTAACTACATAATTTGCATTGATCGGACTGTTGTTCTCGTTTTATTTTCATATTTACGACGTTTCCACCCTTGTACGCGTCGGCTTTCATCAGGATCTGTCTATTTATCTGTGATGAGGTATTGTAACTATTTACATGAATTGATCTAACTGTCGTTCTCGCTTTTATTTCCATATTCACGACGTTTCCACCCTTGTACGCTCCGGCTTTCATCAGGATCTGTCTATATTTCTAAGATGAGGTATTGTAACTATTTACATGATTTGAATTGATCGGACTGTTATTCTCGCTTTTATTTCCATATTCACGACGTTTCCACCCTTGTACGCTCCGGCTTTCATCAGGATCTGTCTATATTTCTAAGATGAGGTATTGTAACTATTTACATGATTTGAATTGATCGGACTGTTATTCTCGCTTTTATTTCCATATTTACGACGTTTCCACCCTTGTACGCTCCGGCTTTCATCAGGATCTGTCTATTTATCTGTGATGAGGTGTTGTAACTATTTACATGATTTGAATTGATCTAACTGTTGTTCTCGCTTTTATTTCCATATTCACGACGTTTCCACCCTTGTACGCTCCGGCTTTCATCAGGTTCTGTCTATTTATCTGTGATGAGGTATTGTAACTATTTACATGATTTGAATTGATCTAACTGTTGTTCTCGCTTTTATTTCCATATTCACGACGTTTCCACCCTTGTACGCTCCGGCTTTCGTCAGGATCTGTCTATATTTCTAAGATGAGGTATTGTAATTATTTACATTATTTGCATTGATCGAACTGTTGTTCTCGCCTTTATTTCCATATTCACGACGTTTCCACCCTTGTACGCTCCGGCTTTCATCAGGATCTGTCTATTTATCTGTGATGAGGTATTGTAACTATTTACATGATTTGAATTGATCGGACTGTTATTCTCGCTTTTATTTCCATATTTACGACGTTTCCACCCTTGTACGCTCCGGCTTTCATCAGGATCTGTCTATATTTCTAAGATGAGGTATTGTAACTATTTACATGATTTGAATTGATCGGACTGTTATTCTCGCTTTTATTTCCATATTTACGACGTTTCCACCCTTGTACGCTCCGGCTTTCATCAGGATCTGTCTATATTTCTAAGATGAGGTATTGTAACTATTTACATGATTTGCATTGATCGGACTGTTGTTCTCGCCTTTATTTCCATATTTACGACGTTTCCACCCTTGTACGCTCCGGCTTTCATCAGGATCTGTCTATTTATCTGTGATGAGGTATTGTAACTATTTACATGATTTAAATTGATCGGACTGTTATTCTCGCTTTTATTTCCATATTTACGACGTTTCCACCCTTGTACACTCCGGCTTTCATCAGGATCTGTCTATATTTCTAAGATGAGGTATTGTAACTATTTACATGATTTGAATTGATCGGACTGTTATTCTCGCTTTTATTTCCATATTCACGACGTTTCCACCCTTGTACGCTCCGGCTTTCATCAGGATCTGTCTATATTTCTAAGATGAGGTATTGTAACTATTTACATGATTTGAATTGATCGGACTGTTAGTCTCGCTTTTATTTCCATATTTACGACGTTTCCACCTTGTACGCTCCGACTTTCATCAGGATCTGTCTATATTTCTAAGATGAGGTATTGTAACTATTTACATGATTTGAATTGATCGGACTGTTGTTCTCGCCTTTATTTCCATATTCACGACGTTTCCACCCTTGTACGCTCCGGCTTTCATCAGGATCTGTCTATTTATCTTTGATGAGGTATTGTAACTATTTACATGATTTGAATTGATCGACTGTTATTCTCGCTTTATTTCCATATTTACGACATTTCCACCCTTGTACGCTCCGGCTTTCATCAGGATCTGTCTATATTTCTAAGATGAGGTATTGTAACTATTTACATGATTTGAATTGATCGGACTGTTATTCTCGCTTTTATTTCCATATTTACGACGTTTCTACCCTTGTACGCTCCGGCTTTCATCAGGATCTGTCTAAATTTCTAAGATGAGGTATTGTAACTATTTACATGATTTGAATTGATCGGACTGTTATTCTCGCTTTTATTTCCATATTTACGACGTTTCCACCCTTGTACGCTCCGGCTTTCATCAGGATCTGTCTATATTTCTAAGATGAGGTATTGTAACTATTTACATGATTTGAATTGATCGGACTGTTATTCTCGCTTTTATTTCCATATTTACGACGTTTCCACCCTTGTACGCTCCGGCTTTCATCAGGATCTGTCTATATTTCTAAGATGAGGTATTGTAACTATTTACATGATTTGAATTGATCGGACTGTTATTCTCGCTTTTTATTTCCATATTTACGACGTTTCCACCCTTGTACGCTCCGGCTTTCATCAGGATCTGTCTATATTTCTAAGATGAGGTATTGTAACTATTTACATGATTTGAATTGATCGGACTGTTATTCTCGCTTTTATTTCCATATTCACGACGTTTCCACCCTTGTACGCTCCGGCTTTCATCAGGATCTGTCTATATTTCTAAGATGAGGTATTTGTAACTATTTACATGATTTGAATTGATCGGACTGTTATTCTCGCTTTTATTTCCATATTCACGACGTTTCCACCTTGTACGCTCCGGCTTTCATCAGGATCTGTCTATATTTCTAAGATGAGGTATTGTAACTATTTACATGATTTGAATTGATCGGACTGTTATTCTCGCTTTTATTTCCATATTTACGACGTTTCCACACTTGTACGCTCCGACTTTCATCAGGATCTGTCTATATTTCTAAGATGAGGTATTGTAACTATTTACATGATTTGAATTGATCGGACTGTTGTTCTCCTTTTATTTCCATATTCACGACGTTTCCACCCTTGTACGCTCCGGCTTTCATCAGGATCTGTCTATTTATCTGTGATGAGGTATTGTAACTATTTACATGATTTGAATTGATCGGACTGTTAGTCTCGCTTTTATTTCCATATTTACGACGTTTCCACCCTTGTACGCTCCGACTTTCATCAGGATCTGTCTATATTTCTAAGATGAGGTATTGTAACTATTTACATGATTTGAATTGATCGGACTGTTGTTCTCGCCTTTATTTCCATATTCACGACGTTTCCACCCTTGTACGCTCCGGCTTTCATCAGGAACTGTCTATTTATCTGTGATGAAGTATTGTAACTATTTACATGATTTGAATTGATCGGACCCTTGTTCTCGCCTTTATTTCCATATTCAAGACGTTTCCACCCTTGTACGCCCCGGCTTTCATCAGGATCTGTCTATATTTCTAAGATGAGGTATTATAACTATTTACATTATTAACGCTGCTCGGGCTGTTGTCCTCAGACTTGCCATATTTACGACGTTTCGACCGTTGTACACTCCGTCCTTATTCAGGATCTGTCTATATTTCTGTCATGAGACATTGTAACTATTTACTTTATTAACACTGTTCGGTCTGTTGACCTCTCTTTATTGTCATATTCACGACGTTTCGACCGTTGTACACTCCGGCCTTCTTCAGCATCTGTCTATATTTCTGAGATGAGGTTGTGTAAATATTTACACTATTAACACGGTTCGGACTGTTGTCCTCATCTTTATTGTCATATTCATGACGTTTCGGATGTTGTACGCTCTGGCCTTCTTCAGGATCTGTCTATATATCTGTCATCATGTATTGTAACATTTCACATTGTTTGCATTGTTTGGAGTGTTGTCCTCATTTGTATTATCTTATTCAAGACGTTTCGGTCGTTATACGCTCTGGCCTTCTTCAGGTGATATACCTAAAAGTTATTTGATATGTTATTAGTTCTGACCTGGCATCTCGGCTTCAATCACTTTCCCGCTGCCATAATTTAGTTTCCCCGTGCTTGTTCTATAAATACTTTCAAGGTAATTCTTTTGGTTTGCTGTCCTCTTGGCTACCTCGACTTCTTGTACTGAAGCGCATTACTAGCTTGCCAGTATGGTCTTACCATTTTACTGCTGAATTTACTAGACGTAACCGTAAGTTCTATTCTACTAGTTTCCTCCAACGCACATCTCGCATGTGGAACTTTCTTCTGCTTTCTTGCTTTCTTGTCAACTACGATCTTCGAAGATTTAAATACGATGTCCATCGTCATCTTCCATCTACTTGAATCGATTTATTTTATTGTCCTCTCTCCTCAATAACGGTTTTAACTCTTAATGGGTGTATGCCTTGTTTGATTGTTGATCGATTCATTTTTATGGCTTATCAACTCTGTTGCTGTTA